CCAGAAGAGACATGGTGATGGTTTGGACAAGAACAGTGGTGAGGAGGACAGAATGAATTCAAGAGACATTATAGCAGGAAAAATCACTACGTTTTAGAGATGCATTGGGTATGGGGGATGGTGAGGTAAAGGGAATATCAAGGATGACCTACTTATTAGCCTTTAGTCCAGGAAGATACTCTGTTGTTTTGTTAGTTTCGCATCTCCCCAGGTGAAACAACCTCTTGCCATCACACATTCATAGATTAATGCTGAAGAAGTTACCTCTTGCCCCACGATCCTAGGAAAAGCATAGAAGTTGCCAGTTCCTTGTTGTTCTTGCCACCAATTGGCCTCATCTTGTCCTCAGCTGCCTCCATAGCCTTTCCACTTCTCCCTGCTTCTTTTGTTCCTGGCCTCCTGAATGTCGCCTGTCAGTTTGTGTGTCTGAGTCTTTGCACACACAGCTCTATTTTGGATTCCCTATTTTCCCAGTCTGGATCTCACTTTTTGCCTTATTTGACCCCCAGAGTCAGGAACCCCTTCAGGAAGCCTCCCCAGAGAAAGGTTTCCCCACTCTACTTTGGACATATATATATTTTTAACCTTGAAGCATTTTGGTTGCTTTTGAGGTTAGAAGGAGATGGTTATGCACATATACTATATACTTAAGTTCCCATTAATTTTTTTAGCCAAAGATACAGAAACCCCTACTGAAGTGGGGCAGCAGGAACAGAACAGCTTGTCTGGCATGCTGTTTCCCTGGCTCCTTAGTTCTCTGGTGGAGACACAGTGGTCTGTGGAATTTGGAGTTCACTGTGGTTCTCCCAGAATTGAGAAAACTTGAATTCTTGCTACATCATTACCTTTTAATACTTAGGGTTTACCTGATCAAGTTCTGAGAGAACTCATGCTATATACTTCCTTTAAAGGAATTTTTTTAATATTGTCGTCCTTTTTTGATCCTTGAATCAAATTCAGCATCAGCAAGGCCATGCCATCCTTTGGCAGGAGAAAGCACAGAGCAGCATTTCTTCTAGATTTCTAGTATCTTGAACCCTTTCCCTAAAATTTTCTATCCCTGTGGCCGTTAACATTTCTCTTTGTATTCTTAGAACCTACCACAGCGGCTGGTATATAGTAGTTGCTTGGTAAATGATAACTGCATGAATGAATGAATAAGTGTAACATTCTGCTTGTAGTATATGATCTTGCACACTTGCTTTTTAACCAATGTTTTTAAAAATTGTTTCCAGTATAATTAACATATGGTGTTATATTAGTTTCAGGTGTAGGATATAATGATTGAACATAAATATATTAACACTCATCATGATAAGTATACTCTTGATCCCCTTCCCCTGTTTTGCCTACCTCCCCACCGACCTCCCCTCTAGTAACTGTGAGTGTGTTGTCTATATTTAAGAGTCTGTTTTTTTGTCTCTCTTTTGTTCGTTTTGTTTCTTAAATACCACATATGAGTGAAATCATATGGTATTTGCCTTTCTTTGATTGACTTATTTCACTTAGCATTATGTCCTCTAGATTCATGTTGTTGCAAATGGCAAGATGTCATTCTTCTCCATCTATATCTGAGTAATATTCCATTTTACATACATACACCACATCTTCCTTATCCATTTATCTGTTGATGGACACTTGGGTTAGGTCCATATCTTGGCTATTGTAAATAATGCTGCAGTAAACATTAGGGTGCATATATCTTTTCAAATTAGTGTTTTTGTGTTCTTTGTGTGAATACCCAATAGTGTGATTACTGGATCATATGGTAATTCTATTTTTAATTTTTGAGGAACCTCCGTACTGTTTTCTGCTGGTGCTGTGGCTGCACCAGTTTGCATTCCCACCACCAGTGCACAGTTTTCTGCCCATTTTTCAAATGGATTATTTGGGGGTTTTTTGGTGTTGAGTACCTCTTATCAGATATATCACTTGCAATATCGTCTTCCGTTCAGTAGGTTATCATCTTGTTTTGTTGTTTCTTTTGCTATGGAGAAGCTTTTTACTTTGATCTAATCCCAATAGTTTACTTTTGTTTTTGTTTCGCTACAGCCAATGTCAAAGAAATTATTGCCTGTGCTCTCCTCTAGGATTTTATGGTTTCAGGTCTCACATTTAGGTTAATTTATTTTAGGTTTATTTTTGTGCATAGTGTAAGAAGTTGGTCCAGTTTTCCCAACACCATTTGTTTTTTGTTTTTTTAAAGATTTTATTTATTTATTTGAGAGAGCGAGAATGAGAGATGGAGAGAGAGAGCACATGAGAGGGGGGAGAGTCAGAGGGAGAGGCAGACTCCCTGCTGAGCAGGGAGCCTGATGCGGGACTCCATCCCGGGACTGATCCCAGGACTCCAGGATCATGACCTGAGCCGAAGGCAGTCGCTTAACCAAGCGAGCCTCCCAGGCGCCCCCAACACCATTTGTTGAATAGACTTTTTTTCTTTTTTTAAGATTTTATTTATTTATTTGAGAGAGAGAATGAGAGATAGAGCGCATAAGAGGGGGGAGGGTCAGAGGGAGAAGCAGACTCCCTGCTGAGCAGGGAGCCTGATGCGGGACTCGATCCCAGGACTCCAGGATCATGACCTGAGCTGAAGGCAGTCGCTTAACCAACTGAGCCACCCAGGCGCCCTGAATAGACTTTTTGCGACTGTATATTTTTGCCTCCTTTGTCGTACATTACTTGACCATATAATTGTGGGTTTATCTCTGGACTCTATTCTATTCCATTAATCTGTGTGTCCATTTTGTGCCAGTACCATACTGTTTTGATTACTACAGCTTTATAGTATATCTTGAAATCTAGTAGTATTATACTTCAAGTTTACTACTACTTTTTCAAAATTGCTTTGGCTATTCAGGGTCTTTGTGGTTCTACACAAATTTTAGGATTATTTGCTCTAGCTCTGTGAAAAATGCTTTTGGTGTTTTGTTAGGGATTGCATTAAATGTGTAGATTGCTTTGAGTAGTGTGGACATTGTAACAATATTTGTTCTTCCAATCCATGAGCATGGAATATCTTTCCATTTGTTCATGTCTTCTTCACTATCTATCTATCTATTTATCTGTCTGTCTGTCAGAGGGGGATAGAGAGAGAGCACAAACAGGGGGAGCAGTAGGCAGAGGGAGAAGCAGGTTCCCCACTGAGCAGGGAGCCTGTTGCGGGACTTGATCCCAGGACCCTGGAATCATGACCTGAGCCAAAAGCAGATGCTTAACCAATTGAGCCACCCAGGCGTCCCTTTTTCAACATCTTTCATCAGTGTTACATAGTTTTCAGAGTACAAGTCTTTCATCTCTTTGTTTAGTTATATTCTTAAGTATCTTATTTTCAGTACAATTATAAATGAGATTGTTTTCTTAATTTCTCTTTCTGCTACTTCATTATTAGTATATAGAAGTGCATCAGATTTCTGTATATTGATTTTGTAACCTGTGACTTGATTAAATTCATTTATCAGGTCTAGTAGTTTTTTAGTGTGGTCTTAAGGTTTTCTACATACAGTATCAGGTCATCTGCAAACAGTGGAAGTTTTACTTCTTCCTTACTGATTTCTTCTTCTTGTCTGATCGCTGTGGCTGGGATTTCCAGTACTATGTTGAATAAAAGTGGCAAGAGTGGATGTTCTTGTCTTGTTTCTGATCTTAGGGGAAAGTTTTTTCCCTTTGAGGATGATGTTATCTGTGGATTTTTCATAGGTGGCCATTATTATGTTAAGGTATGTTTTCTCTAAACCTGGTTTGTTGAGAGTTTTTATCATGAATGGATGTTGTACTTTGTCATATACTTTTTCTGCATCTCTTGAAATGAGCATATGGTTTTTATGTTTTCTATTGTTCATGTGACCTATCACATTGATGGACACGCAAATATTGAACCACCCTTGCATCTCAGGAGTAAATCCCACTTGATCATGTTGAATGTTTTTTTTTTTTTTTTTTGAAGATTTTATTTATTTATTTGACAGAGAGATAGCAAGAGCAGGAACACAAGCAGGGGGAGTGGGAGAGGGAGAAGCAGGCTTCCCGCGGAGCAGGGAGTGCGATGTGGGACTTGATCCCAGGACCCTGGGATCATGACCTGAACTGAAGGCAGCCGCTTAACGACTGAGCCACCCAGGTGCCCTTTGAATGATTTTCTTAATGTATTGTTGAATTTGGTTCGCTAATATTTTGTGGAGAATCTTTGCATCTGTGTTTATCAGAGATACTGGCCTGTACTTCTTTTTTTGTAGTGTCTTGCTTTTTATTTATCTTTGAGTAATGTGTACAATGTGTATGAATAGCCCATCCATTCACATTACTTGTTTCTTCAGCTAGTGGATGGACCCTTCTGAGATGGGTGGGCATAGCTTTTTAGTTTCTATTGATTCCATTCCCTGCCTCCTTGGCTTGCTCTATTCTCTTACCTTCCAATCACACCCTGGTCTCGGGGCTTGGGAAATAATATAGGAGATATAGTCTCTGGCTCATCAAGGAGAGAGCCTCATAGGAGTCTGATGATGAATAGAAGAGGGTGGTGAGGTCTAAGCTTGCTGGAATGGCAAGCTCTCTGGGGTTTTCTGGGACTGTCAAGGGGAGAGGGAAGAAGGGTGTCATGAAGGATGCAGTGATGTAGCCATGTCCTTAAGAGTGAGTAGATGCTTACCATTCACTGCACGTTTACAGAAAGGCTTATTATAGCTCAGTTTAAAGAAAACAGAATAGCTTAAAGATGCAGGTTCTAACTGAGTTATTGGTCTCTCGATTGAAGTGCAGATGTCCTTGCCCATCTGCCTCATTCCCTTAATTTGATATGTATTAGCAAAAGGAGAAAATATGTGTGAGGTATGTGTGTGTGTGTGTGTGTTAGAGAGATGGATGGATTCAGGTAATGGAACACGGCAGAGTCTGGTCTTCATGAGTTAATAAATCCTCTCGGCTTGTTAGCCAACCATTCCATTGCAGTGTCCCTTCAAGGACTGTCTACCTCATGAGCCCTCTTTCTTCTTGGCTTTTAGGGCAGGCTGTCCCTGCTGGATCCCATGTGCGGCTGAATCTCCAGACTGGGGCAAGAGAAGTGAAACTCCAAGAAAAGGACAAGTTCCGAAGTAATTTGAAAGGGTTGAAAAAAGGCAGAAGGTACAGTGACAACCCTAGGGACCGGGAGGTTGACAACATTGATTTTGTAATACTAAAGTAACGACAATGTGATGTTTGTTACCCAAATTCATGTGGCTTTTTTAAAAATTTGAAATTTAGTAGTCTAGAATTTGTGATAAATCTGTCAGGGTTTCGTGGAAGTTTACTTGTAGAATCTTTGGAAAGAAATAGTTTGCAAAGCAAACTGATACTTTAGGAAAGGCTGTAGGGGAAATGCTTAACCTGCTTTAAAAATGAAGCTATTTTTCCCAGTACTTTAAGAGCACCCATTTGAATCCCAACAATTAATGTGCTGATTACAGATGAGTCATCTATTCATTAAAACAGGCCTGTTAGGCCTTCTGCTTTGCAGTAATACTTCCTTGGTGAACAATAAAATTGCATTTTAAAGTGTTTAATTCAGACTAACTTTTCCTCTTGTTAGTCCATATTAAACAGGCTTTCTTGCAGGATAAAAGTTCTCCAATGGTAAGAGATTGCTTTATTTTTTAATAACCAGTTTAGAGTATTTGATTTTGGACAATTTGTCTCTATTTTTCTGTTCTTTGCCTTGAATTAGTAAGTATTATTTGCAAGTTCTTTTTTATTTGAGGGAGGAGGAGGAGGCATGGGGTTTGCAGGGGCTGCTGGAATTGGGCAATTTGAAAGGTCATAAATACCAATCATGAGGTTTCTAACACAAGGACCAGCAAATTATGGCCTGTGGGCCACACTGGGACTGCTACTTATTTTTGTACAGCCCACAGCTAAGTTGTTTCTTACATTTTTTTTAACGGTTGGAAAAAAGCAAAAGAATGATATTTCATGACTTTTAGAGATTTCACTCTCCGTAAATAAAGTTTTATTGGAACACAGTTATGCTCATTGATTTATGTATGGTCTGTGGCCACTTTCCTGTTACCTGGCAGAGTTGAGTAGTTGGAACGATTGCCATAAGGCCCATAAAACCTGAAATATTATGTTGTCATACCAAAGAGTTTGATGCCCCTGTTCTAAATACATGCAAGTATTGGCAATCAGTAATGGATTGAGCAGGGTTAGTGTTACTCAGTCCTTGAATTTTCATTATTTCAACAATATTCTGCGGTTAGATAAGAGCCAGAAAGGGAGCCTAGAGACCCAATTCTTACCTGAGTCATTTCTTTGATGTACTCAACAAAAGGTTATTCAGCCTGTCCATATGTACCTTCAGTCCTGTAGCACCCACAACTCCACAGAGCAGCCTACTCAGATGTGGGTAGTTTTTAGTGTTAGAAAATTTGATTGTAGGGCGCCTGGGTGGCTCAGTTGGTTAGGCGACTGCCTTCACCTCGGGTTGTGATCCTGGAGTCCCAGGATCGAGTCCTGCATCGGGCTCCCTGCTCAGCGGGGAGTCTGCTTCTCCCTCTGACCCTCCCCCCTCTCATGCTCTCTCTATCTCATTCTCTCTCTCAAATAAACAAATAAATCTTAAAAAAAAAAAAAAAAAGAAAGAAAATTTGATTGTATATGATGATAAGATACAGAGATTTTTGTCCTCCACACAGTCACTCCATACTGGGGAGGATCTTTATCTTCCCCCATCTCTCTTGATAGGCTTATACCTGGAGGCCATATGATGATTCATTTCTCACAGTCATCGAAGAAAGAATAAAATTTCATTGTTGTAACCCCTGCCAAGCTCCCTCCATCCCTAGCACACATATTATGCACACATATATCAGTGTCTCAGAGTATGTCAGGAGGTCTTTTATCACCTCTGTGCCAAGTCTTATTTTCTAAATAAAAAGGCTGTTTTATTCTTGATTTAAGAATATTGAATTAGGAGCTTGATTAATTTGGAATTTGTTGATTTTACTACTGTGGAAAGTTCTTTTTCCAGTACCTGACCATAGACCTTCAGTAAGATTGCTAAATGCTTTATTGGTTGCTCTTATCTTTTTAGAATAGAAATCGGAGTTATTCATGTGGTCTGTAATAGGCACACCATTAAGAGAGAGATACCTGTTCTATTTCTACCTCTTTTCTCCTTCGGAATGTTTCCGAGGGTTCTGGTCTGGAATGGCTTCCAGGGTATACTGGACATATCCTCTTCCTTCTCAGCATTTATTAGTAGTGGCAAACCTGTCTGGACAGCAACCCAAAGGCACGGACAAGGTGGTGTGGGTTTCACTGCTGTGAGCTCAGTAAATCTCTGGTTGCCTTCGATGGTGACTTCTTCCTTCTGCTGTGGACCTCATCTCGGGCTCCTCCAATTCCACTTAGAAGTGTCTTCCTGGCGCTTCAGTACCAGAATGGGAACAGAGGCCAAAGGTCAGGGATCATTTCCACAATTGTTACAGTATATTGATTATCTGCTTATTCTGTTTTGGGGGACAAGACAGACAAGACCCATATCTTTCCATCAGATTGTCAAAGAGGTTGGTGATCACAGAGTTAAGAACCACTGGCTAAGGAGAGGTGGGGATTGTCCATTTAGCCTAATCGATTACATGGCAGCCTGTCCACCAGTTCTGCTGGATATGGGACTGGCCACACTGCTAACTAGAGCTGTAATGACTCTGGGCTATAAAACCTGGGATAAGGCATCTGACTCTGACTTGTTTCAGAGGCCTCTCCTGGCACTGCCTTCAGTGTATATTTGGTTCCTAGCAGCAGGGTTTTCTCTTGCTATTTATGTCTTAGGCATTGTCATCTCCACTGGTTTTAGCCCATATTCCTGTCAACATCCCAACATTGTATCTGTCTTTTTTGCCCTGGAACAACCATCTTCTTTGAATCACCCTCTTTTGTTCAGAGGGATGAGGGACAGTATACATCCAGGTTTTTCCATCTTGAGCATTTAACATGGTACAATACAGCATTGTGGTTAAAGGAGTGGGCCAAAGACCGGGCCATTTTCTTGCTCCATTCATTCACTTCACAAAAGACCTATTGAGTGCCTATGTGCCACACATTAGAGGTACAGTAGTAAACAAAACAGAATGTCAGCGTTAGAGAGGCTGGCTGGCAGAAAAACAGAAAAATAAAAATATAAGTGAAGTAATTACAGATAGTGGTAGAATGTAGGGAAGAAATAAGCAAGGTAATCAATCCCTAGGGAAGGCCACTTTAAATAGGGTGGTTTGGAAGACCTCATTAAGATGATGTTTGAATTGGGATTTAGTCATGCAAAGAGTTAATTTTACAGGGTTAAGGTTAGAGCATCTCAGGCAGGGAGAAAAAGAAGAGTCTCCAGCTTTGTCAAGGTAGAGACTTCATCAAGTTTGGGAAACAGGAAAATGACCAGGGTGACTAGAGAGTAGGAGAAGGAAGAAGAGTAATAGATGATTTTGGAGAGTGGCCTGATGAGGGGCCAGATCATGTGGAGTTTGGAGGTGCATGTTGAGTGGTCTTAATTTGAGTAGAACTGTAATGGAAAGCCAGTGGAGGATTTGGGGTGGGAGAGTAGTTTAATATGATGTAATTTAACAAAGTCAGTCTAGTTGCTGTGTGTATGGAGAGTAGATTGAGGGTGGACAAAAGAAGCACAGAGAGACAATTAGGGTGTCATTTCAGTAGATCAAGTAAGACATAACGGTGGCTTAGTCTAGCGTGTCATGATGGAGAGTGGTTGGGTGTGGAGATTTAATTTGGAGGTAGTACCAACAGGACTTGCTTATGATAAAGATTTAGAGGTTGAAGGAAGGTGATGGGGGAGGTATTTGAGATAAAGCCTCATTTTGGAATTTAACACAACTAGGTTCTTAGAAGTACCATTTATTGAAATAGAAAAGATTGAGAAAGGAACAGATTGATGGGGAGAAACATCAAGACTTATGTTTTAGATGTGGTAAGTTTGAGGTGCGTGATGAACATCTGAGATCCATGATATATATCAGGTAGTTGTACCACAGTCTGGCTCGTACTCAGGGGAGAGGATTGGTTAAAGATGTAAATTTGGACATCATTGCCTGACATATTTTATTTAGTTTTAAAGATTTTATTTTTTGGAGAGCACCAGCGGCGGTGGGGGGAGGGGCAGAGGGCGAGGGTGAAGCAGACTCCTCGCTAAGCATGGAGCCTGATGTGGGGCTTGATCCCAGGACCCCACGTTCATGACCTGAGCTGAAGGCAGATGCTTAACCGACTAAGCCACCCAGGTGCCCTGCCTGACAGATATTTTAAAAGAACTAGGGAAGAATATGGAGATAGAGAAGATTGTTCAGGATTGAACTCTGAGGCATTCAAGTATATAGGGTTCAGGTAGGAGATGAGGAACCAACAAAAGAGAGAAGGAGGGAAGAAGGGGAAGAAACAGCAGAATGTAGTAACAAGAAGCTAGGAAGGAGATTGTTTCAACGAGGGAGGGGTGAGCTGTGTAAATCTTGCAGAGCAGTGGAGGAGCATGACATGAGTGAGGGTCCCATTGGATCTGGTCGTCCATTATTTCAGTAATCTTGATGAGAAGTTTTATTAGGCTGTGGGAACTGAATCTGGATTAGAGCAAATGGCAGTGTAGGTAGCAGTCACGAAGATGAGAATAGTGAGTTAAGACAATGTGTTCATAAAGTTCTACCTTGAAGGGGAGCAGGGAAATGGCATGATAATTAGAGACCCTGGAGTCCAAAGAGTGTTGGTATGTTCAAAGGAATAATCCAACCAAAGAGAGAAATTGAAGATGCAGACAAGAGGGAGCAGTATAATTATGGGAGTTAAAGCTTTTGAAAAGGGAAGTGGGATCTGGAACATAAGTCTATTAGAAGCAGGGACACTGTTATCCATTTGCCATAGAAGGGAAAGCAGACTGTATATTTGGTGCAGGTTGGTGTATAGAGGTGATGAGGGGAATAGGAAGGTGTTCTTGATGATAGCATCTATTTTTCTGAGTGAAGAATGAAGTGAGAATACCACCTGAAGATGATTTGATGTCTGTGTGTGCAGTCACACATGTGCACACTTGTATGTATGTGTAATTTGGGCTGAGAATGGGTGATGGTAAGAGGCCTGGAAGAATGGCACTTAAGGTGGTAAATAGAGCATTGAGACATGATGGGATTTGTTCCAACCAAGTCTTAGAGGACGGAGGGGTAATCCGTTCAAGCTGTGCCCCCAAATACTTATCTCTCTCTTAGGGATAAGGGGCAGGGCAGTGGCATCCTCATGCTACTGGCAGCGGGTGATGCTCTTCTGGAAGAGGGATCATCTTCCCTACCTCGTAGGATTGTGGTAATCAGTTGAAGGAAATAATACTTTTAAAAGGATTAAAACAGTGACTGACACATGGTTAAGTGTTCAATAAATGGGAGTGATTAGCTATTATTAATTAGTTTATGAGGATCGAGGTTTAGAGAAGAAAAGTGTTTTTCTCAGGGCTCTAAGGGGTCTCTGGGATGAATCAAAGACTAAATGGGCAAAGCCCTAAGAGCAGGTGCCTCTCATAAGAGCTGAGGCCTGCTGGCATCTTGACTGTTTGACTGATATGCTTATCTGGCCCAGAGCAGCCCATTAGCACCTTCCTTCCCCACCTGCATATATCTCCTGGGTTATCCTTAAACCATCCCCCCCCACAACTGCCTCCCGCCGCCCAGAGCTGGACAGTCTTGTCAAGCACAGGCTACATTCCACACTTACTTTGTCCATGTCACTCTTGGTCTTACCTCTCTGTTCACTGATCAGAAGTCACTGTTGGTGGCAAAACTCACTCCCCATCCCATGAATGCCTTCTCTCCAGTCAAGAAGAATGGTCATGGCTTGGATCAGCTCCAAGGGGCTTTGAGAAGATACCACTCGAGTCTTCACCAGGTTCTTGAGATTACATCCACATTGGTTACTTTCCTCCCTCTCCTCGGAGGCTGACTTTGGAAGACGGTTGGCTTTGCATCTAGTCCTCGATAACTCAGCCTTATTCCTTGGTCAGATTGACACTTAGCTCCTGCATTTACTCTGTGCCCAGGAGGTGGTTTTGAAGGTGTGAATTTATCCAGCCTGTTTTTGTGAAGAAAGATTGCCTTGTGAAATCAGGCCAGGCACATGTTGGCGGGGGGTGGGGGTGGGGCGGCTCAGGTCTCCATTGGTCCCTTTACTAGAAGAATAGAAATAGGGTGCTTGTTATATCCTTTGTGCCCACTATCCTCCAGGAGGTCCTGCCTCACATGCTGACAGAACAGCATTGCACTGTCATTCCAGACATACTTCTGCCTTTGTAGTTGGCTGAGAGCTCTCTGTCCATGGTAGGCCTCTGTCTGCCCCATGGCATTTCCTCCTCTTTCATGAAATGACCCCATCTTTGGCTGTGTATTTCCTCCTTTAGCTTCAAGGTCAGACTACCTGTTGGACTTGTGGCTGACCAAAAGCAAAGCTAGAGTGGTGTACTCTGAGTTAGAGCTGGCCTGGCTTACCTTGTTTTGGAGTGCCAGCCCCTGTGGTGGGGGGGTGTTTTTTTCTTGGGAAAGATGGTGCCTCCTTCCTGACTCTCACCCTCTCTTTGGACAGGCTGGACATCAACAGTAACACCTACACATCTCAGGACCTCAAGAGTGCACTGGCAAAATTCAAGGAGGGGGCAGAAGTGGAGAGTTCAAAGGAAGACAAGGTGTGTGATACTCTTTCCAGGGAGTTAGTAAACCTACTGGACAGCCTTGAAGGGAATCACTTCTGCCTGAAGCTGTTAAAATAAACATGGGGTTATAATAATATTGTAAAATAATTTAAAGGGCAGTTAGTGCCAAATAAATAATCCTTTATAGACAATTTAAAAATATATACCAATGCTGGGAGCATTTCATTGTTTAGGATCTACCTTTGCGTTATATGTTTGGGGAAAATGAAGCACAAAGCAGAGATAATCATACTCTTCATTATCACAGACAAGAGTGAGGTGAGTGGAGATTAAAACACAGATCTCCTCACTTACACTTGGATTGGACACAAGCTTAAAGAAGAGAGGAGCTGGGCTGGGAAGGAAACCTTGATCCTTGTCCATGTCTTTTGAACATGTAGCAAATGTATTCCTGTTCCAGGGCTCATGTTACTTAAATGTACAGTGCAGGGGTGGAACAAGAGGATGGCTGAGGTTTCCTCCAGTTCTAAATGTGTGTACAAACTAAAGGAATGAGAAGAAGAAAGAGGCAGAATTGCAGCCCCTTGCTATGCCCCTCATGTCTGGGAGAGCTTGTGTGTACAGACTTATACCAGAAAGAAATCTTAAACTTGAGATGGAGCACAAACTCATGTGATAGAGAATTCCCACATCATTTAAAAAAGAAAAAAATTTTGTTGTTGTTGGACAAGAGAGAGAGAGCGAGAGCCTGAGCACAAGCAGGCGGAGCAGCAGAGGAAGAGGGAGAAGCGGACTTTCTGCTGAGCGAGAGCCTGATGTGGGGCTTGAGCCCCAGACCCTAGGATCATAACCTGAGCTGAAGGCAGACGATTAACAGACTGAGCCACCCAAGTTCCGCTCCCATATCATTTTTTTACACTTCCATTTGAGTCCTTGAAAGAAGCTCCTTTGATGGCTACTTTAGAGACCTTTCTAAGTTCTCCCTTCTTCTTATCCCCTTCACAGTCCTCTTTTGCTTTGTCTGTCTGCCAGTGCCCCAGAATCCTGGCAGTATCTTGGAGGTGCAGCATCAGGTTCTTGACAGCTTGTATGTTAATTGGAAGAAGGCTTGGGTCCCTCAGATCCTTTAGAGCTAAGCGTTTCTGAGACAAATGAGTTTTTTTTTTTTTTTTTTTTGGTGTCGGGGAGGACCTCATTAGGATGTGTTAATATGCAGACCATGTTCTCCATGTCTTTCCTCATCTTAGCGAAGTCACATCTCCCAGTATGGAGAGTGTATATGGTATGAGAAGATGAGTAGCAGGATGGCAGTGGTAGCAGCAGTGGTTGTAGGAAGGTGATAGATAAAATTTCATTCTACCACAGGTTAGGAGGGTGAGGAAAATCAAATCCTCTTACCTGATGAAGCGGAGGTGAGCAGAGGAGAGAGGTGTGTGCTTAGGTGCTTAGAGCAGAGATTGATGTTCCTGTGGCCAGGGGTTGGGCTCATTCTCACTCATCATCCCCTCACCATGGGCTCCGTGTGGGCCTGATGGGAACATAGCAGTCAGCCCCTGATCCATGTCTTCTCTGTGGGTGGAAGACCCACTCTACCCCATCTCTTCTCTTTGTTCTCTTTTAATGGTATTCTTTCCCATAGTAAAGTTTGTATAGAAAAGTATGAATATTAAGAAAATATTTTTTAACCTCACACCTGTCAGAAGGGCTAAAATTAACAACTCGGGAAACAAGTGTTGGTGAGGATGTGGAGAAAGGGGAACCCTCCTACACTGTTGGTGGAAATGCAAACTGGTGCAGCCATTCTGAAAAACAGTATGGAGGTTTCTCAAAAAGTTAAAAATAGAACTACCTTATGATTTAGGAATTGCACTACTAGGTATTTACCCAAAGGATACAAAAATACTGATTCGAAGGGATATATGCACCCCGATGTTTATAGCAGCATTATCAACAATAGCCAAATTATTGGAAAGAGGCCAAATGTCCATCAACTGATGAATGGATAAAGAAGATGTGGTGTACCTACACGGTAGAACATTACTCAGCCATCAAAAGGAATGAAAGCTTGCTACTTGCAATGACGTGGCTGGAGCTAGACTGTATTATGCTAAGGCGGAGAAAGACAAATACCATATGATTTCACTCATATGTGGGATTTAAGAAACAAAACAGATGAACATATGGGAAGGGGAAAAAAAGAGAGAAGGAAACCATAGAAGACTCTTAATGATAGAGAACAAACTGAGGGTTGCTGGAGGGAGGTGGGTGGGGAATGGGCTAGATGGGTGATGCTCATCACTTGTGATGAGCATTGGGTATTTTATGTAAGTGATAAATCCCTGAATTCTCCTCTTGAAACCAATATTGCACTGTATGTTAACTAACTAGAATTTAAATAAAAATTTGAAAAAATAAAAAACCCAAATTAAGATTAAAATAGAAAAATAAAATATTTTTTAAATGCAAAAGCAAGAGATTAAGTTTTCGGTTGATTTTTTTATTTTGCAATTAAAAAGAATCCTTTCCCATTGCAAGAGGAGATCCCAGTATCAGTACCCAAATGCAGGATCCTTGTTCAAGCTGGTATAAGTCAGCTGCTGTTTGGAAGATAAGGCTGCCATACTCCTTACTTCTATGGAGTGTAGGTTGTTGGCTTCTTCACTGAGGTGCTAGAGCCTGGGGTTTTTCTCCTGCTTTCATTTGGAGCCTGTTGGGATTGACTCAGCTCATCGTCAGTGCCATTGGGACTGGCAAATAAATTGACTTGAAGTAGGTTGGGGAGTTTCTGACATGTTTCAAGCTCTTGGCTGCAGATGGCATTAATACCAGTGTATTAAACGTAAACATTTTAACTGCTTGCTGAAAAGGAAGATTCAGTAAGTTAGAGAAATCTTAAAACTAATACCCAAAATGTCCAGGATACAAAAAAACCAAACCTTGAACTAATAGATAATAGATGCCAACAGTGAGATGACACAGAAGTTTGAATTACCTAAAAAGGATTTTAAAGCAGTTATAAAAATCATTCAACAATTTTTTTGTTTATCAGTCTTTAAACTCAAGTTGTGTGGTGGCTTGCAAGAACAGGATGGTGCTTTTGCTATTTATAAAAGCAATACTGTCAAATATTGTGCCGTATCCTATCATTTGAGTGAATGTTTTTTTTACTTGATATTTTAGGGAGAAGGGCACCAGTTCTATTGTATATGTTCGTACCTTAGATTTAAATGAATCAGTCCTTCCCAGAACCCCTTGCCATGTGGAAAAACTCCATCTAGCCAAACAGATTTGGACGGTTGAATCTGATCCCTTTATACCTCTATTACCATATAAATGGCTTGATGCCCTATTTTATTATGTCAGCTGTTGTTCACCTGTATCCTATAAATTGTTCCATTTAAAAACATGACCTTTTTAAACTTTTGATGCTGGACAAGATAAAGTAGACTCATTTCTTAATATTACTCCTGCTAAGGACAACTAAAAACCTTGGACATAATACTAAAAGCAAATATAAGAAGACTCTAAAAGGTGGGAAGAAGAAAGCAGACTGGCTAGTGACCTTCGAACTTGAAGAATAACATGATAGTGAGTTCCTTGGGCATTCTTTTTGCTCTTCGTATATCCCAGAGTGGGCATTCGAGAGGCCCACTTCCAGGAAGTGCCAACAGGTACAGATAGAAAAAAGCCCTAAAAAAGACCTGTTCTTTGTAGAGAAATTGCTAGGAAAAGGGCAGCCTAATAGAACTTAAACCCTTTTTGACAATATCTGTCCTACTTTAGCCAAAGACAATGGAAATCTCCCACCCCACCCTTAGTACCAGTGGAAATTGAAGGGAAACTTGGATTTCCGCCTCCCACTTTGTGGTAGCAGGCTGCACTCTCATTCCTCCACCAGAGTGGTAGAGGCCGAGTGGGTAGACTGAACTTCTACTCCCATCTCTGGCAATGATATGATATGATGCAGTATTCTGCTACCTTGACCAAGGTGGCATCAGTGAGCCTTGAACAGAGAGCTGGAATTTCTACCCTCTGCCCAATGGTAGGATACTATTCTCTGTTTCCCCTGCTGGTGTGGTACCAGCAGATACCAAGTGTGGAGCCTGGTTTTCCACCCTGTACATTGGGCGTAGCAAGCTGCTTCTCCTGTTGGGATGGTGTCGGTAGAGGTCAAGAAGGATATTTGAATGTCTTCTGCCTGACACTACCAAGGTGGTTTTTCACTTGGAGCAGAGATGATGCCATTGTGTGTGTTGGTCGGGGTGGGGGGAATGGGTGGTGGTGAATGGAGAATCTGTAGTCTGACCTTCTACTGAGATAGTGTGAGGCATCATTTTGCTCCCCACTCTGGGACATTGTCAGTGAGGGTAAGTGAGGAGCCTGAACTTCCACCCTCACACCAGCATCAGTGAAGCAGTGTTTCAGTTCCCCCAGCAGGGTGATAAAGAGGCCAAGGAAGGACTTCTTGTCCCAGTGTAGAGTGTCCAGTGGTGGCAGGTCATGTTCTTCCTCCTCCTAACTAGAGAGTGGTGGTAGGATTTTGGAGAGAAGGGAGCTGGAGAAAAAGATTTCACAAATGAAATTTTGGGCATATTCTCTGGTGACCCACATGAGAAACTGACCAGAATTAACACAGCAAAAGATTTGATAACTGAAATGCAGTGTGGAATACTGCCAGGTGTCTAGATGAGCCTTTGGCAGGATATAAAGGAAACAGACTAAATAACACTGCATAGGGTCTGGAAACTAAATTGTCTTAGAGTCACAGCCACACAAGGACAGAATCAGTGTATTAAACGTAAACATTTTAACTGCTTGCTGAAAAGGAAGATTCAGTAAGTTAGAGAAATCTTAAAACTAATACCCAAAATGTCCAGGATACAAAAAAAACAAACCTTGAACTAATAGATAATAGATGCCAACAGTGAGATGACACAGAAGTTTGAATTACCTAGAAAGGATTTTAAAGCAGTTATAGAAATCATTCAACAAATGATTATGAACATTCTTGAAACAAATGACAACCTCAGCAA